CAAGTAGAAAGCAAATGTTTTGAGAATGATGATGGCAACAAATGTACAAATGTGTTTGACACAATGGATGTATATATGGATTGTGATAAGCATTGTATGAGCCCCCAATAAAATGATTTTTTTAAAAATTCCTTCCCACCCTCCCACCCCCCAGTGTTTCTGAACTCCACTGCATGAGTTAATCCTTTTCCACTCTGGTCCCAAACAAGGCTTACATATGTTACCACTCAACACTTTTTTTATCTTCTGAAGGTCTGAGGTGTCTTGGGCAAGTTATTTAATTGATATGCATCTCAAAATTTCTCTTCTATGACAGTGGTGTTGAAAAACTGCTGAAACTTATTTGGGACCTACAAGTATCTAGGTACTATGTTAGGTATTTTGTGAACATGATCATATCAGTTATTATTCAAAACAATCTCATGTGGTAGGTATTATTATTTTCAATTCCAAGATAACACACCTAGTTTAGGCCCTTCACCACTGATCTACACAATTACCAACACACACACACACACACACACACACACACACACACCAATGAAACAAACAAAAGCTCCATCACTGCTCATGCTTGTCTTCCCCTCTTGGTTTATTCCATTAATACGGAGCCTGACATACAGTACATAATAGATAGGTGTTTGCTAAATGAGTGAAAGCATTGCTGATTGAATTAATTGTATGTGGGCACAGGCTTCTTGAGAATTGATCTACTCATTGATTTTGAGACCTTACATTTTGTCAGCAGCCCAATCAAGCAAATAGTACATATGTCTACCTTAATAGGGACCATAGACACATAACTATACTACTATATTTTATTTTAACTTCATTTTTTTAGAAAGCTAGCCTTTATGGGTCTTACTATACTCATAAAGAGTGAGTATTGGTCTGCTAATCTAAAAGGTCACCAGTTCAAACTCACCAGCCGCTTCTTGTGAGGAAAAGGAGACTATCTACTCCTGTAAAGATTTACAGCCTGGGAAACTCTTGAAGGGGTTTGGCTTTGGGATGTGGTAGTATATACATGAGGAGTGCTGGTGGCACATCTCATAAGGGGTTACCTGGTGGTTAAGTGCTACCAAAAGTGGGCAGTTCAAAACACACCAGCCCTACTGTGGGAGTCTGATTTCATGAAGGCTTCAGCCTAGGAAGCGATGTGTTGGAATTGACTGCACAGCAAAGGAGTTTGTATACCCGCAATGAATGCAAAGATCGGAAATATCCCCAGAGAAACAGACGCTGTGACACAGAACAGGAAACTAGAACTGAACGCACTTCTGGGTTCCATCACCAGGCTTTTCCTTTACGTCACAATACTTCTTGCAACAGCACTGCAAGTTTTCCCGCTGGCCAGTCTGGCCTGGTGCTCGGTCCGTTAGTCCCAGCAGAACACGGCCAGGGAAATAATGCCGCCAAGCCAGTTTCAGCATCGCTAGAGTCCTGTGGAGTACCTCAGTGTCCCACAAGCCTTCAGCAATTCTTACGCTCCCAGCTTCCTCCCGTGTTTAGTATCCCTTTCTCTTTAAACTGCTCTCCATTCCAATGTTACCTCCCTTTCCCCCCATCTCTCCTGCTTTCTGTAGAATTCTCTGTAGACAAACTTTGTAAGGACTCATCTGGAAAAGCAGGATTTCCACATTGGAAGAGAAAAATCATGCAGAGGAAAATAAAGAGTAATAAAAGCCACAGTAATGGGAGTTGCTCTTTAATATACTTTCCATCAATGTCAATGAAACCCAGGTGGGGTCGTGGCTACACATTGGGCTGACCTCAAGGTCAGTATTTCAAAACCACCAGCTACTCCATAGGAGAAAGGTCAGACTTTTTACTCTCACTAAGTATTACAGTCTCAGACACCCATAGGGGCACTCTTGCCCTGTCCTAAAGGTCACTTCATGGTGGATTAATTCAACGGCAGTGAAGTTTTTGAATATGCATATGAGAATTGAACAAGGAAGAAGGAAGAAACATATCAATACATTAGAATTTTGATGTGCTGAATCATATTGAATTTACTGTGGATTTCCAGGAGAATGAACAAAGTGGTGCTGGAAGAAGTACAGCCAGAAAACTTCTGTGAAGCAAAGGATTAGAAGACTTCATCTCATGTGCTTTGGACGCGTTACCAGGCGAGACCAGTTCTCAGAGAAGGACCCCCCTAGGGCTAAGTAAAATCCAAAGAAAAATCTAAGGTGACCAAATGGCTCAGTAAAATCCAAAGGGAAAGACCCTCAACTGGACGAACGGACACCGAGGCGGCAGCAATGAGCTCAAACGTAGAAACGACTTTGAAGATGGCGCAGGATCCGTCAGACCGTGTTTAGTGGT